GTCTTTAAGTTCCCTCTCTGTGTTGCATTTTATACTGCTTCTAACTTTTAAACTGCTGAGCCATAAATGAGAGACTCCAGCGTGGCAGTGTAATTAGGCTCAGCAGATGGGTGAGTGAGAGGGAAGGAGATGTTCTTACCCTTAAGATCAGCCTTTCCTTCATTGTGCCTCCCTGGTGTTTTCAGAACACAAGTGACAACCCTTGTTTTTATCTGTGTTCCCATTTCAAACCTATAATCTTCTTGTATCTCCATGAACTTGTGTTTACTGTTAGACAGCCATGCTGCAGAATGCGTTAGAGTGAGCTGTCTTCTCCAACATGGCGAATGTGATGACAGTTGGAGCTGATCACAGCTGGTCCCTGGAACGACAACTCTGTGTGTGTGTGTGTGTGTGTGTGTGTGTGTGTGTGAGAGAGAGGGGGGGGAGGGGGGAGGGAAGGAGGGAGGGAGGGAGAGGGGAGAGGGAGGGAGGGAGAGGGGGGAGGGAGATTGTGATGAAGCTCCATTTTTTATTTTCAGATCTCTAGTCTCATTTTTGCTGATTTTAGTTAAAACTAAGGGTTGTAAAAGGGCAGTTTTTGGCTCACTGAGTCTTGAGGAACTCATTATTTCCATTGCTTTAAGCATTTCACATTGGGAGGGCAGAAATGAGCTTTATGGATATCATTGATCCCTGGTGCTAGAGGAAGCAGTATGGAACACTGTTACATTTTTGACTGATCTCTTTGTCATGAGCACTGAAAGCCAGGAATTTCGTTTCACCTTTGGATTCAATATTTTGCCTTTCATTCTCTGAAAAAAATTTTAACAAACTTTTAAAATGCTGGGCATGGTGGTGCATTCTTGTAATCTCAGCAACTTGGTAGGCTGAGGCAGGAGGATTGCAAGTTCAAAGCCAGCCTCAGCAACTTAGCAAGGCACTAAGCAACTTAGCAAGAACCTGTTTCAAAATAAAAAGGGCTGGGGATGAGGCTCAGCGGTTGAGTATCTCTGGATTCAGTCCCCAGTATCAAAACCAAAACAAAAAATATCACCACCACCAATAACAAAMAAAAAAAAAAACTTTTAAAATGTTTTGCAAATTAATAAAGTCAGTGATTTCTGGATTCTGCAGTTGCTGCCTTGGCTCCTCCCCATCCCTATTCTCCCATCCCCAACATTAGTGTAGAAATGTGCCAAAAATATTGGAGTTTCTTCYCATTAGTTTTCTGTTTTGACCCCTGGTGGAGTAAGTATGGAGTTGTTACTTCCATTAACAGAAGAGAAATCTGGGATGTGGCAAAGCTGAGTGACTTGTTGGTCACGCAGTTAGTTGCTGATCAATTCAGGATAAGAATCTAGGGCTTCTGAACACTAGTGACTTGTTAATTTGCAATACTAATCCACTCCCAGTGCTTGCCTTTAACCTACCTGCCCTTGGGAAGGTCTTGCCATCAAGACTCAGGGACTTTGTTGTCTCTCTCTGTGACTCCACCTCTGAAAGCACAAATGAGCAGAGCAGCCAGTTACCTAGCTGGTGAGGTGAGCTGTAGAGGGAGGCGGTGTAGAGGTGGAGGAGGAAGGAAGGTGGTGCAAGGTGCAGACTTATGTTTTCTTCCTAAAGAATTGCTCCCCCCCCCCCCCAGCACAAAAGGCAGGAAAGTGAGTGGAATCAACATTCCTTTTTCCTTGCCAAAAGGAGTAAATTTTTTCTGGGAGTCTTTGACGGATGATATTAGTTGCAGTGCAGAGTCAACCTGCCTCTAGATCCTCAGCAGATTGTGCAGCAGACAGGGTTGTATCTGAGATAAAGGGCCCCTCACCGAGGTAGACCATCATGTGTGATTGAGCCCTAGTGTGTTAAACACCACCTGCTGGGATTCTTTCCTCTGTTTGTGAGTTGCCTCCTTTGAAAGTATTGAGCATTTTGAAGAGGCATCATGGTTAAGGTTAAGGATTCTTTGTAGGTTTGATCCCTGGCTGTGCCACTTACTAGCTGTGTGACCTTGAGCAGTTTATTTCTGTTTGTTCATCTGTTCTAATTGTAGGGTGTGGATTAAGTGAGGTAATAAGTATAAAGCATTTAGAAGGGTACAGTATTGTGAGCAGAGTGAGTCTCCCTTCTGTAGCCTTTCTGCTCTCCTTCATGCACTGTGTGTGTGTGTGTGTGTGTGTGTGTGTGTGTTTTCAAGTGCATGCATGATAGTAGTTTTCGGATTCTGCATTTCTAGCTGGCCTGCTGAGCCCTCCAGGCAGCTGTAACATCATCCAAGTTTTAGCTATGGGGTCTGTCTGCATTGGATATGTTTTTAAATGACATCATCAATGAGCTGCTTTGTGGAGAGAAAGGAAACTGAGCGAAACCGAGCGTGTGCAAGCTGTGTACTCACAGCCCCATGTGCACCGGGTCCCTCCACCTTAGGGGCTGAAGCACTGTGAGACTTAGTCAAACCTAAAATTTTATTTTATTTTTTGGTACAGAGATTGAACCCAGGGTGCTTAAGCACTGAGCCACATTCTCAGCCCTTTTTATATTTTATTTAGAAACAGGGTATTGATAAGTTGCTTGGTGCCTGGCTAAKTTGCTGAGGCTGGCTTTGAACTCGCCATCCTCCTGCCTCACCCTCCTAAACCATTAGGATTACAGGCACGCTTCACCATGCCTAGCTAAAACCTAAAAATTGTTTTATAAAATATTTATTTTTTAGTTTTAGGTGGATACAATATATTTATTTTGTTTTTATGTGGTGCTGAAGATTGAACCCAGTGCCTCATGCATGCTAGGCGAGCACTCCACCACTGAGCTACATACAACCCCAGCCCTAAAACTTAAAATTTTAGCGGGGTAAGAATACTGACCAGCAGTCTCAGTCTGCTCGTCTGCTGTAACACAACAACACTGGTGACTGACTTAAAGGGACATCTATTTTCTCTCAGTTCTGGAGGTTGGCAGTCTGAGGTCAGGATGTCGGCACAGTTGGGCTTCCTGGTTTGCAGAGAGCTGTGTGCTTTTGTCCGTGTATGTGTTAGGAGGAAGACGGAATAGATTTCTCTTCTTGTCAGGCCACCAATTCTGTCTGATTAGGATCCCACCCTTAGAACCTATTTAACCTTAAGCACCTCTGAAAATCCTGTCTCCGATCAGTTGGAGTTTAGGGTTCTACATAGGAATTTGGGGGAGGGGTGCCCAATTCAGCCCGTAGCACCAGCCTTCCTCCCTCCAGAGATATCCAGTGAGGAAAGTCGGTGACATCACCCTATATCTTCTTTGGCCCCACACACTGTTATTTGTGAAGCGGCATTGGACYGCCCCATACGTGGGGAGGCCCCTGTCTCCTAGCCTTCTTGAGGTTTGGGATGGTGGGTGTGATGGAAGAGGAGAAGGTTATGCTGACTTCTGCCTCCAAGCTCAGAACTGTTGTGTACGTGGGGGGCACCAGCATTCAGATGTGTCATAGGCCTGTCTTGTCACCTTTGTCACTTGTGTCATCTGTTTAGACTGGGTAGTGAAATCAAATGAAACAGTGGAAGCTGTCTTTACCAACTCACAGGAGTAATGAACACTCTTCAATTCTCTGTGTAAAACATACAGAGCGAGGCCCACAGCCTACTGTGTGCGACCAGCAGGCTACTCTCTGCTGAGCCCACTCGCTCAGCACCCACTGGCTGAAGTATGTGCTTACCAAGAGCCAGCTTGTTCCCAAGCCATTTGCACAGTTCTAGCTGGCATTGAAGCTAAGTAATGTAGTTAAGTACCAGATAACTGATGAAATATGACTGCAAATGAACTGATTTTCTTTCCTTTCTTTAAATAYTAGTTAAAAGCTATGGAAAGATTCAGTAAGGCCAAGTCCCTGAAATATGTTATTGTCAAATTAGATGAGCAGTAAGTTTGGGGAAAATCAAAAGATCCTAAAATTTTATGTTGTGATTATTCTGTCTTCATTTTTACTTCATTTTATAGAATCAGGATTTGGACATCATAAATAGTATATTACATTCTGGTTCATGTAAGAAAGATGATGTGGAATTCTTAGCAGTGGACCCTTATTCAAAGGGCCTTGGACTGTGTTAAAGGCTGAATGATGAATATGGATTTACATCCATTATACTAAAATAAAATTTTTAGGTCTATCATTTTTGTGGATATCTTGCTGTAACTTTTCTGATTTGTCTGGTTCTGGGACCTGATTACAGTGGATCTGAAGGTTCTTACTGTTGTGATTCAGTTTACAGTGGGTTTTTTTTTCTTTTTTAAATTTTTATTGGTTGTTCACAACATTACAAAGCTCTTGACATATCATATTTCATACATTAGATTGAAGTGGGTTATGAACTCCCAATTTTACCCCAAATGCAGATTGCAGAATCACGTCGGTTACACATCCACAATACAGTGGGTTTGTTTTCAGTTGAGAAGATTTAAGGAATTTTATTTTGTATATGGTGTATACTTAATAAAACCAACATTATTGGGGCTTTTTTTTTTTTTTTTTTTGATACCAGGGATTTAACCCAGGGACACTTACCTACTAAGTCACATCCTCAGCCCTTTTTATTTTTTCTTTTGCAACAGGGCCTCACTAAGTTGCTAAGGCTGGCCTCAAACTTGTGATCCTCCTGCCTCAGTCTCCTGAGTTGCTGGRATTATAGGCTTGTGCCAATACACCCAACTTAGTGGAGCTTTTTAAACTGGGACTTTAAAAAAATTTAATGTGGCTCATTCTCAATTTTATTCTTTGGTTCCTCTTGTATACTTAAAGCACACTAAGAGAGACCCAATTCTCTCATTTTACAAAGGAGGAAGCTGAAGCCCTGAGAGGTAAAGCATGCTGGTGGTGAAGTAATTGTGGTGGCTGGAGTAGAGGTGGCAGATCCACAGCAGGATGAACCCTGCCCTCCAGTCCCCTCCTCCAGTTCTCTGTCCCTGGCCTCAGATCTAGAGCTGTCCACTATGGGAGTCTTCCTCTGGGTGACTACTCTYGTGACAGTGTTGACCTGTGGATCCCCTTTGGACAGGACCAATCTGGAGGCCTTGCAGAAGAAGCTGGAAGAGCTGGAGCTTGATGAGCAGCAGCGGAAGCGCCTTGAAGCCTTTCTGACCCAGAAGCAGAAGGTGGGAGAACTGAAAGATGATGACTTTGAGAAGATCAGCGAGCTGGGTGCAGGCAATGGCGGTGTGGTATTCAAGGTCTCCCACAAGCCGTCTGGCCTGGTCATGGCCAGAAAGGTGAGTTTACCAAGATAGATAGGTAATTGAATTATCTCAGGGAAGATCTGGAGGCCTGGGGACAAGTGTGGAAGGAAGATGGATTTTTTTTTTTTAAATACTTTATTTATTTTTATGTGGTGCTGAGGATCAAACCTAGGGCCCCGCACATGCTAGGCAAGCGCTCTACTGCTGAGTCCCAGCCCCAGCCCCGGAAGATGGAATTTTTAACTTGTATTTTTTATGTTGTTTGAATCTTGAACTCATCATCTATCAAGTGGTGAGTAAATGTGCTAGTGACTGTTAATGTATTAATTCCCATCCTCAGTCTGGGAAATAATAGTAAGTGACCCTACCTTAGCTCTCTGTGTGCTGTGGAAGGGGTACCAGGTGCCAGTTTATCATTTATCAAGTGTAGGAGCAGCTGCTTTTGTTCACCTGGGCCCAGAAATGCTCAGGCCAGACGCTGAGATCACGTTGTTTCCTGTGTTCCTACCYTGCCAGGGGCTGCCTTCATCTCCCTGCAGTCAGCCTCAGATCCCTCCATGGCTGCATTCTTTGAGTTGGACTTCCCATTCCTGTCTCCCCTTGGTCATTTTTCTGAACACAGCCCCCATGTAGAGAGCTGGCCTCTTCCATGGTTTTCAGCTCATCGTGTTCATTCCTGCCCCCATGTTTGTGCTTGTGCTATTCCTTTTTTTGGGAACTGGGGATTGAACCTGGGTGCTTAACCACTGAGCCGCATCCCCACCCCACCCCACCCTTTATTAAAAAAAAAATTTACTTTTTAGTTTTAGGTGGACGCAATATCTTTATTTTACATCTGTGTTGTGCTGAGGATCAAACCCAGTGCCTCGTGCATGGTAGGCGAGTGCTCTACCACTGAGCCACAACCCCAGCACCCCCTGCAGCCCTTTTTTTTCTATTTAACTTAAAGACAGGGTCTTGCTGAGTTGCTTTTAGGGCCTTGCTAAGTTGCTGAGACTGGTTTTGGACTTGTGATCCTCCTTCCCCAGCCCCCGAGCTGCTGGGATTGCAGGTGTGCTGTTCCTTTCATTTTTTTCCAACAGTGCCTGTCCTCTGGAACCTCCAGCTGCTCCAACCCACAGTTATCAATAACCAACACTTCCATGTTCTTTGACCATTGTTTATGGCATTTTTTAGATATTCAACCTTATCAGTATTTTTTGTGGTGCTTGGGGATTGAACCCATGGCTTCATGCAGGCTAGGCAAGTGTGATACCTCTGAGCTACATCCCCAGCCCTAGGTGACTATTGATTTGTCTKTTACTTGTCTCCCCAGTTAGAATAAGGGCCAGTGTTAAGGGGACATAGAATAGTACCTGAGATTTTGGCTAACTCTCAACCACATGAGGCACCCGAGGTCAGGGAGGAACCTCTTGGGCATCTTGGGTCAGTATACCAAGTTCCTCATGCCCTTTTATCTTTCAACCTGAGTATGACCAAGTCCTTGAGGCCACTTTCCCCTCAGATCTCAGCCCTACAGGTTCTTTTGTCATAAACTCTCCATTTAGATTTGTTCCCAAGCTTGGCTCCTGGAAGCAGAAGCACAGCTGGCTTTGTGGTTACAATTCTTTGGTGCCAGCACCCACCTTATACATAGACACTTAGTGGTTTGGTAGAACAGAAATTTGTGCTTCTATTGACCTTATATTTAAACATTTAAGAAGAAAGATCCCTCCCTCTCATAAAAACCTCTCTTTCCTTGACCTTTCTTTCCCCAGCTAATTCACCTGGAGATCAAACCTGCAATCCGGAACCAGATCATCAGGGAGCTGCAGGTTCTGCATGAATGCAACTCCCCATATATCGTGGGCTTTTATGGCGCATTCTATAGTGACGGGGAGATCAGCATCTGCATGGAGCACATGGTATGTAGTGACCTGCTGGTCCCTGGAGCAGCAGCCTGAAAATTGGCGATTCTGACCTAATCTTTGGTCAGGGAAGTGATCAGCTGCTTCCCTATGATACCCTGTATCACACCACCATCTTGAGCATCTGGGTAGCTTGATTGTAGAACTTGGCAAATTCATAGGATGACAAGCTTCCTTTCCTTGCCTCGCTTCAGAGAGATGATAGTAACCAGGATTCCCTGGTGGTGTGTCTGAAGCACATCTCCCAGTTTTCTCCTATCCAGATGACCCTAAAGATTTTGATGTGGATAAAATATGGTTAATATAGTTTAAATCATTTATTGCGAATAATATTGTGTGCTGGGTACAAAGTTCTGGGATTATGAAGATGAGTGAAACAGTCTCTGCCTTCTGAGAAGTTATAATCTACTTTAAGGGGTTTGGACAAGGAGAGAAGTAATCCCACCCTATGCCCATTAGTGGAAGTTCAAGTAAGGGACAGGCTTATGGGCTCACACGTATGAGTGTGTCAGTCTTTTTAGCTGCCTGGGGTCCCTTCAATTTCTAGTGAGTAACAATAGTATTGTTAATGCTAATAATGATAAATTAATTTTTATATGGTACATATTATATCAAGCATTATTATTATTTTTTTTTTTGGTACCAGCGATTGAATCCAAGGGGTGCTCAATATCCCTAAGTTTAGTGAGCCACTTCCCCATCCTTGAGCCACATCCCCAACCCTTTTTTATATTTTGTTTAGAGACAGGGTCTTACTGAGTTGCTTAGWGCTTTGCTAAGTTGCTGTGGCTGGCTTTGAACTTTCGATCCTCCTGCTTCAGCCTCCTGAGCCACTGGGATCACAGGTGTGCAGCACTKCGACCAGCCTTAAGCTTATCTTAAATTTTTAAAGAAGTGTTTTTGGGTACTGGGGATTGAACCCAGGGGCGCTCTGCCACTGAGCTACATCCCCAGCCCTTTTTATTTTTTATTTTGAGACAGAGTCTCACTAAGTTGCTGAGGCTGGCCTCCAACTTTTTATCCTCCTGCCTTAGCTTACCAACTTGGCAAGTCTATATTTTATTGCATTTTCACAGCAACCTTTGTGAGTGGGCATATTACCCCACCCAGTGAGGAGACCAGGGTACAGAGAAATTGATGAATCGCCCTAGATCATACAGCTAGTAAGTGGTGTTGGCAGAATTTAAGCCAAGGCAGTCTGACCCCAACCTGTACTTTATTGGATAGTGATGAGGGGATCAGGGCTATTTCCATCCTGGAAGCCTAGAATTTCCTAGAGATGCTGATGTCATCTTTTTTTGCAGCATATGATAGGGGATTTTGGAATCTGACATATGTTTATCCACATCTCTTTTCTCCATGGAAATCCAAGTGGGGACTTTGTCATGTTTGCCACTGTCTTCAAAAAGCCTAGAATATTCCTGGCACATAGCAGGTGCTCAATATTTATTTGTTGAATGATTGTCACCTCTTTGTTATGATCTTGGACAGATTTCTTTATCTTGTTGATTCTCAGCTTTCTCATCTGTAAAAGGGCATTATTATAGCTGCTTTGTTTTGGTGAGGATTAATTAAAATAACAGATATAAGTCTTCCAGCACACTGACTCAGAGTATATATTCTGCAAATGTTAGCTTCTCTTTATTTCCATGGACTGACAATTTAGAGATGAAGGCTGACAGGAGTCTACATAGTTGGTGGCTGCTGTGTTTTCAGTCCAGCCTGGTGTCCTTCTCCATTTCTTTCCTGACCCTCTAGAGCTGCCCTGATCTTTAGAACCAGATCCCTGGTGCCTGGTCTTAATGAACTCAAGGAGAATCCTTCCAGGCAGTTCTTATCTTGCTCRTGCCCCCATTATTTTGAACATCTCTTCATTCTGATCAAAAGAAGGGCTGCATACACTGTTGTAGGCATCTGCCGACATTTGTGGGTACCATATGGAACATAGATCCTGAAAAATCTGTGCTTCTAAAGGTTATCAAGAATGCTCCCGTTCCTTTTTTGTTGCAACTAGAGTAAGTCTCTGCGGGAGACATTTCTGTCTTGGTCCTTGAACCTGGCCCAGGATGCTGATTATTTTTCCCTTGGGTTCTTGTTTCATATCCCTTGGGTTTCTTTGCTCTTTGTGGTGATGCTGAGTTTTCATCTCTAGCCTAAGAGCTTTAGATGATGATATATAAATGGCAGTGGAGGTCCTGGAAACCTAGAAGGAAAGGCCAGGGTGGCTTCTTTCCCTTAGGTCCTGCTAATGTTGTAGAAGGTGGGTGGTGGCATGACTAGGTATAACAGTAGCTAGCTTTGAATCTTTTACCACTTTCTAAGTCCCTTTCATATTATGTAAGTTATTAATCACATCAGCCCCATCTCAGGGGATAGATTATTGACCTCCCAGCTGCTAGTCAGAGAGTAAGCCTCAGACAGGTTTTGAAATGAGCTTATTCTCACAGTCAATAAGCATCAGAGACTCTGAGGAAGTCTGTTTTCTTTAAATTTCATATTCTCCCTGTTTCTCTGTGTAAGTGTATACTCAGGATTTTGCATCTCTGTAGAGAACTGATTGGATGGGATCTTTTCTAGGGCACCTCCCTGTGCTCACATCCTGTGTTTCTATGGTTTTTAGCACTTGTAACCAGTCAGGGTTTATGTAAGTAAATCAACTTGGGTTCACAAACTCTTTTTGGTGTTTATTATGTGTGTGATGCTACATGACCTGATCTGAGGACAGAGACGTGAGAGAAGCATCTCTCGTCCTCCAGAGCTGTTCACAGGCTGTATGGCTGTGTTCTAGCACCTTCTSAAGTAGGAGATGTCAGTGCAGATGTAAAAGCTCCTGAGCACCATGTATGTCATTTCATGCCTGCTCAGTTCTTTCCTGGGTCATCTCCAAGTTCCATACCACTCAGATTTATTCCTTTATAGAGGAAAAAGGACACCATTTGGGGTGTGAGCATGATTGAGTTCCAGGATGCTTGCTTCAGAAATAGGGTTAGGCTTAACCCCGAACATGGARAGTGGCCTCTTCCTTTATTTAGATTTGTCAGTACCTCTTGTATGTCCTCCTGCCAGGAGGACCTGTTTTGAAATGATTGCTCTGGATTCAAAGTGCCAGAATAGCTTTCTGCTCCAGCTGTGGACCTCTCATCTTTTCCTCAGTCTCCAAGCAGGCCCTTGCAGCAGAGCCCCTGTACCAGCTGCCCCTGACCAGAAAACTCTGCTCTGGCTGCCACTTCTCTTGGGATTTATGCTCGGCATTTATGCTTCAGCATTTTAGAAGTGGTGTCGTGGACTGGATGTGGTGACACATAACTGTAATCTCAGCAACTTGCAAGGCTGAGACAGGAGGACTGCAAGTTTGAGGCCAACCTCAGGAAATTAGGGAAACCTAGTCTCAAAAAGGGTTGGGGATGTAGCTCAATGATAAAGCATCCCTGGGTTCAACCCCCAGTATTAAAAAAAAGAAAAGAAGTGGTGTCACATAGAGAGCTCTGCTCAAGTCACATCAGTTTATTATGAAAAATTTCAAGCATAACGAAAGTTAAAGGAATTGTACACTGTATTCCCACAAACCCACCACTTTGAGCCTACAACTAACATTTTGCTATATTTTTCTCACCACATATTGTCTGTTTACTGCTCAAATCAATTTTTTTCTGGATGCATTTAAAAATTAATTTGCATCATCAGCATTCATTGAGCCCTATCTTCTGAAGTGCTCAGCCAGGAGCTTACCTTTCCTGGAAATGAACTGTATTTGCACTGCCCAGTCTAAATTTTGAGACCCAAGGGGGCTGTGATGCTCTTGATCAGAACAGAAATGCTCTTGTCTTCAGGGAAGTAAATTCCTGCTCAAGTGGTAGCTGAGCAACCAGGGAACTGGGGACTCAGAATTGATGGTTCTCATGCAGGAGTAAAAGCTTTTGAGCTATTATTTTCATAAAGCGTTTGTCTCCTCTATAGAAAACCTTCACAAAAGTACCATTGACTTAGTTAATAATTGGCTTCTAAAAATAAGCACAGTTTCAGCAGCTCTAGTCAGTGAAGGCAAGTTCTTGGCAGTGAAGTAGAATTAGAAGGCTATAGGGTTAGTCGTAGGCAACTCTGGGTGCTCCTGATAGCTTATGCCTCTTACATCTTGCTAATACCATTGTTCTTCCTGTTATTCTGCTCATAGCTCAGGAGGTTAAAGGGAAGAGAGCCCATGTTTCTTCCTTTTTAATCAGTATTTTTTGGGTGGGAGATACTGGGAAGCTCATGTGCTACCGCTGAGGTACACTCCATCCCCAGCTTGATTAATAGAAATATTTACCTTACCAGTTCCCAGGGAAAGTCATACATTTTCAGTTAGCTAGGGCTGCTCTCTGTTCAGTTGAGACACAGTACTGTTCATTGCTAAATGGAGGAAGGAACCTGAAAACCACAGGGTTAACTTTTCCACCTCATTTGAATCCAGTTTTGGCAGTGGCTGTGTTATCTTGTTTTATTTATTTATTTGGGTACCAGGGATTAAACTCAGGGGAACTCGACCACCGAGCCACGTCCCCAGCCCTGTTTTGTATTTTATTTAGAGACAGGGTCTCACTGCATTGCTTATTGCCTTGCTTTTGCTGAGGCTGGCTTTGAACTGTAGATCCTCCTGCCTCAGCCCCCCCGAGCTGCTGAGATTATAGGCGTGTGCCACTGAGCCCAGCTTGATAACCTTGTTTTAAATATATATTTCTTATGATTAGGCAAAGCCATTCATACAAAAGAATTAAAACATATCAATTGGAGGCAGAATAGAATTAGCTTGGGAACTTTCTGCACTGGAGTTCCTCTTCCCACTGGTAAAGGAAATTGAGAAGTACTGTGGAGTTCTAGGGGCCTGGTAAATTGGGGTGGTAACTTGGACTATGRTGTTGTCCTGATTGGACCAAAAGGAGGCTCTGCAGCATGGTGAAGGCAGCCAAGGTCATAGGATTGATTTGATTGCTAGAGTTCAGCGGAGGTTACAGCCCCCAAGGGCTTTTTGAAAATAAGTGTGTTTAAAGGGGAGTTCTTTTTGGTTTTAGATTTATGATCCCACTTTCCTGTTTTGTGGAGGTTATCCATAGCACCTTTGAAATTTAGGTTGAGTTTTGGAATCCTCTACTGTTCTCCTTGGTCAGCTTACCCTCCACTAGGTGGTTATACTGGTCAAAAGTCACTCATGTGTACATAGGAATGTATATATGTTATGTGAGACTGTCCTGCATTTGAGAATCCACACCCATATCATTTTACCTTCCCATCAGCATCAGTGATCCCGAGTTGATAGTAACAGAAATTAATTGGTCTGAACTATATTTATTTATTTGTTTGCTTGCTTGTTTATCATTCATTCATTCATTCATTCATTCATWCATACATACATATTGGGGATTGAACCCAGAGGCAGTTTACCACTGAAGTACACCCTCAGCCCTTCTCATTTTTATTTTTGAGACAGGGCTTTGCTGTGTTGCTAAGGCTGGCTTGAACTTGTGATTCTCCTGTCTCAGCCTCCTTAGTAGCTGGGGTTACAAGTATGCACCACCACATCCAGCTTGAGCTATCCTTTATATAAGCATAGAATTTTTAAGTTGATAATCTGGTTTTAGCCTTAGATTCAGGTAGTATTACTTGGGAGATCTATATCCTTGAATGAGTTTTGCCTCCTCTACAAAGAAAGCAGTTCTTTATTTACATAATAGTGCCTTTGTACAAAATGGGTGCTCAGTATCTATTAATTTATTTATAGATKTAATTCTCTATTTTGCCAAATTAGTTATTTAAAAGGTAAAACATTTATTCATTGTAGAAAATTTATAAACAATAGAAAAACACAAAGAAGAAACCATCATGCAGCAGAAATCCCTGATAATCTTAACTGCCTAGACTGAAGGTAACTCATGCTAACATTTTTGACTTTGTTTTGTGTGAATATATGTGCACTTTTTTATTTTGATAGAAGTGGAGTTGTGCTGTTCTTTTGTTTATCACGTTGTGTATTATTCCCTGTCCTCACATTCAGTGGCTGCTTCTTAGAGGCTTAGTGATTTGGGAGGCAGGCTGTCTGCAGGAGCATCTCTGCTTGTCCAGGTTTTGCCACCTCCAAGGCTCAGCTTCTGCTGCTCCTGTTCTGAGCCTTCCCTTAGCAGCTTCAGCATAGCAGCATTTATTCCCTGCTTTGTTTCAGAGGAGGATTCATGGTGCCTTCCTTCTTATGAATGTGTTCTGTCTCCCCAAGCAGAGGGTGCATTCTCTTTCTTTCTCAGCTGCTGTGGCTCTCATCTTTTTTTTTTTTTTTTTTTTTTTAAAGAGAGGAGCAGGGGGTGGGGAGAGAGAGAGAATTTATTTATTTTTTCGGTGGACACAACATCTTTGTTCGTACGTGGTGCTGAGGATTGAACCCGGGCCGCACGCATGCCAGGTGAGCGTGCTACCGCTTGAGCCACATCCCCAGCCCCTGTGGCTCTCATCTTAAWACTCTAGGGCTGGATTCTTTCACTGTTTTCTAAAAAGTGCAGTCTGGGTTTCCAGTGGGGGGCCTTGGCCACAGCTGGTCATTTCCAGCCTGATCTCTGTCACTATGAGTTCAGGAAGAGATGCAGAAATGAACCATGTTATCCCAGGAGTACTAGGCAATTTAATGCTTCTTTGCTTTTGATCTTATTGAAATACCCCATTCTTTCCTTGCCTTGTCCTCCCCTTTCCAGGTATAGAAACCGGTGCTTCTTGAGTTCAGATCAAATGTTATCTTCTGAGTTTAGTCCGAACGGCTTCTCCCTTCTGCATGTGTGTAGCTCATTTATACATTTCTGGTTTGTTATATTAGGTAATACGTTTATTGAGGGGAGAAATTAGCTTTTTATATCTTTGTCCCGTATAACACCTAAGATAGTCCGTAGCATTTTGTAGGATTTGTGGGATGAAYGATTGCTTTCTGAGACATTTTTGTTTGGATTTTGTCAATTCTGATTTGTTAGGATAATATCAAATGCAAGTTGTGACTTAAACAGTGGCTAACATTCATTGAGTACTTATTATGTGCTGTATGTTGTTCCAAGTACTTTAGGTGTAGTAGCTTGCTTAATCCTTATAATAGCCCTGTGATTATTATAATAGCCTTTTAATTATCATCATCCTCATTTTACTGGTTGAGTAGCTTATTCAAGGTCTCCTAGATAGTAAGTAACAGAATTGGGCTTTAAATTTGGACAGGTTGCCTGTATTCCTGACTACTGCCCCATGCTGTGAGCTCCGGGCCAGCCAAGACTTTGACCACTATTAATTTGCTTATGGAAGTTCATGGGATTGGAGTTACTTGAATTTTGTGCCTCCCTCAATGTGTTGCATTCATGTCATATTTGATGTCTAGAGCAAACCACCACAGGGTGCTCACCCTTACCTCTTAGGAAGATTTGCCAAGTAAGAGTTACTTTCTTCCTAAAGTTTAACACTTGAAATGATCATTAGAAACATTGTAATTAAAATGTCTGCTATTCTTGTTCTTAGGATGGGGGTTCTTTGGATCAAGTCCTGAAGAAAGCCGGAAGAATTCCTGAACAAATTTTAGGAAAAGTTAGCATTGCAGTGAGTATGTTCAGTTGTTCTTCCAAGTTCTTTCATTTATAAATTGAGTTGGTAGGGAATAGATGAGGTGGGGAGGAAGCCAATGAAGGGAAAGTTTATTTTAAAACTGGGATTTTTCTCACTATCTTTTCCCTATCTAGAGTCTAGATACAATATCTCTTTCTTTCTTTCTCTCTCATTAGAATGAGAAAAGTTACTTTTTATATGTTAAAATCTGTGTCTGAAAAACAAGACAAGGTATTTGAGAAAATTCCCATTCATGGTATTAGAAAAGCTTTGCTAAATTGCAGATTTAGAAAAACTTGAATTCACACATAGTGTTTTTTAAAGTTGTTTAATTTTGAGATAATTAGGTTAACTTAAAAATAACACTTTATATACCACATAAAAAGATGATTGCTTGATAGGACAGGTTAACACAGTGAAACAAAAGAATAAAAAGGGCTGGGATGTAGTTCTATGCTCACCCAGCATGTGTGAGGCCCTGAATTTGAGCCCTAACATCGCCAAAAAAGAAAAAGGATAAGGAAGGATGGCAAATTTACTAATGATGTTTGGTGAAATATTTTCTAGGTCATTTTAAAATAGATTATTTTTCTGAACATAACTATTTCCATTTCCCATCCTTTTACATTCCCTTTCCTTTAGGTAATAAAAGGCCTGACATATCTGAGGGAGAAGCACAAGATTATGCACAGAGGTAAGAAATTACTTGCTAGTTATTATGTTCTGAATTTCAACTGAAATCAAGGTTCTTGTACCATCTTTTTGTGTGTTTCATTTTGTTTTGGGGTAAAAGCCTTTGAATTATGCTTTTAGTCTTCATGACATGTTTTTGTGTAGTGTGGTGGCTGAGGCCACGCATTTCACCTGTCTGGTCCTGGTACGCGCCTGTCCCTCCTGCCATGTGTACTAGCCCTCTGGTTTTCCACGAGGAGCTCTGCCATCATTTCCATTAAAGGGTGGGAGATTTCAGATCAACCTGGAATAACCAGCTTTCTTTTCCCTTCTGCCTAGTACAGCTCCCACCTTCTCAAATCTTTCTTTTTGGCTTCCCCAGTTATCTTGTGTATACCCAGGGAGCTGCTTGGTAAACCACACGGGTCTATGCAGATGTCTTTGGTGGAGAGTTCACCACTTGCCCAGCCAAGAAGGGGAAGTTGTTAGAAGGACTCTTGCCCCATTGAGCACTGCTGTTATGGCTCAGCCTGGCCAGCTTTTCAGATTCCTTTTTCAGATTCCTGCTCTCTTGGGTCTTTTCCAGAAGCCCTGGAGGAATTAACAAGAAGGCATATCTTGATTCCTGAGCAAAAAGACAGTGGATGATTTGTGGAAACCTGAGTTAGGGTTAGAATGAGAGATCACAAGTCTCCCTAGTGTCTCTGTCTTCAGGCTTCCTCATTGCTAGTAAGTTCTATCTCTGGTCTAACTGTTGTCTTTCCTGATGAGACTTAAACTCCATTTCTTCTTATTCTGTTCTTGAGAAAAAAATAGGGAAGAGTAAAAGGCTTCTTCTCTGCTTTGAATTTTCATTTGTTCTTATTTGTTTGCTGGAGAGAGCTTAGTGATTATTTCAAGTCTTTTTTTTTTTTTTTTGGTACCAGGGTTTGAAATCAGTGGTGCTTAACCCTGAGCTACATCCTCCACCC